CCCACCCGGCCGGCGCGCCCGCCCCCCGCCTCCCGCCGCGCTCCCTCGCTCTCTCGAATGTTTTCCTTCCTGGAAGAGAGAAACTGAAAGGCAGAACTGAGAAAGCGCTTTGCTCATTGATCTTGAGAGTTTCAGTGCAGAAACTGACGTGAATTCCCAGCACTGAGCTCAGCCTCTTAAAGGAGCCACCAGGAAATAAACGCTCCGGTTACAGCCCGGCACCGGGAAATAAAAGCCGGCGGGGGAGGGGCGGGCGCGGAAACCGGGGCGCGGGCCGGGCCGCGCGGGGCGCACGGTGCCCGCCACCCCCGGGGGTCGGCCCTGCGCCCGCTACGCCGCGAGCCCCCCGCAGGCCGAGCTGGGGCTCCCGGCCTGGAGGAAGACACCTTTAAAAAACGTTGCACCGCGGCCCAAGAAACCGCAAAACAGGTTTTATGCAACTCCTCCCGCCTCCCCTACCTCGCTCTTTAGATGCACTGAATTGCACGAGGGCTTTTACATATTTTTGCTGGTAGGGTTGTTTCCCTAAGCGTAGATGCAACCAGAATAGTGACCTAGGAAGGGGCATTCCGGGAAAGACGCGGAATCCGAAGGAGGAAATAAAACAATAGCCTTTGTTCTGCTTCGCGACCGCTGCCTCTTTAAGAGAATCCACCAGGAAATGGGAGCTCGGGTTACAGACTGCACAAGGGGAAATGTAGGGAGCGAGCGCCCGAGCGCGACGCCCGAGACAAAGCCGGGGCAGCCGGGCCGCGCGGCAGACGCTGGGGTAGGGGGTTCCCGGGAAGGGGGCGCCCCGAGGAAAGGGGGCGCCGGCTCGAGCTGCGGGCGCTTCCCCAGTGGAGCACGCGCTCGGGGAAGGAAGCTGCCTGCCGGGCAGTTATCGGAGCAGCCGGGTTCCTTTTCCTGACCCCGCTCCTCCCGCGTCCTCGTCTCCTGCCCATTTAAAGCAATAGCGGCCGCTACCAAGCGCGGCGGGGGTCTCGCCTGCAAAGTTGACGGGACGCGTCCCTGCGGGTGGCATCCTGCCCAGGACGCTTCCCGACTTGGCAGTAGGTGCACGGGACGGCCCTGGGACTCTGTCCGGGCGGGGTCTGTAGGGAAAGACGGGGGGCTTCCAATCCTTCCCTAGGGCTCCATCACTCGGATTTGAATAGTTATTTCGGCTCTTGGCATCCTCCGGAATGCCCACCGCAGAACACTGAAGACATTGTAGTTGTGTTTACATTCTAAACCTTGCCGACAGACATAGGGGCTTGTGAGTGGGTGGGCAATAGAAAAAGTAAATGTGTCGTGAGCCTGTCTTTTGATAGCAATGTTTTACAAATGTGTGTGAATCCACACGTTCTCTGCACCAGGCCTGGATGGATTTCCCAGATCCTGTTCACCCCCGTGTGCATTTGACCTGCCTTCTTCCCTTCATTTCTCTGCGTTATAAAATGTGTTCTGACTTTTACAAACAATACTTTTGCTCTCGCACTCGTCATAACGCTCTAAACCAAAATGTATCCGTTAAAATGTTTGGGAGTGGGCACACTCTTCTTGTGTGAGCCCCCAGGAGCCTCATAGTTTTGGCTGCCTGGTGATCCTATCCCCTCAACACAGCTGTCTTGCCAAACCAATTCCTCCACGTTTGACCTCACTCAAAATTATCTAATCTACCTTTGTTCCTTTTAACAAATACCTGTAGACATTGGTTCTACTGTCTTGTTACTGAGTTAAATATTATAAACCCTCACCTCTTTTGCTCTGAAAATTCACTCTCTAAACTTCTGTGAAATGGGGTGGAGGGACAGCACCTATCTAAACAGATGCTCATATTAAATGAAAAAATAGGGGCCAGGGAGATGGCTCAGTGGAATAAGCGCTTCCCTAGCAGGCGCAAGGGTCTGAGTTCAATCCCCGGTCGTGCCAAAAAAAAAAAAAAAAAAAAAAAAAAAAAAATAAATGAAAAAATAGGTATAGCAGTTTTATTTAAGGGGGGACATTCCAAGACCTCCAGTGGATGCCTGAAACACACATAGGTACTGAGCCCCGTATATAGTTTTCTCATATGCATATGTATGATAAAGTTAATTTATAAACTAAGCACATTAAGAAGGTAAGAACAGCTAATGAAACCATTATAACATACTCTAATAAAAGTTATTTAAAATTTATAAATTGTTTATTTCTGAAATTTTCCATTTAATATTTTCAGTTCATACTTGATCATAGGTAACTGAAACTGTGGACTGTACAAAGTGCTTCCTTAAAAGAATGCCACCAATAATGTGTTCAATCAATGCTCAATACAATTACTATTTAACCTCAGGTCTAAGTTAACTTTCAATTTCCATTCCAAACTCCTCTCTACCTTCTCTAAGTGATTCATAGAAGTAGCAGGTTGAGTGTGGTTTCCGAAACAAAATACAGCCCAGCATAGCAGCATATATCTTTAATCCTAGCACTCAGGAGGCTGAGATAAGGATGGTCATGGGTTCAAAGCCAGCCTCGACTTCCTAGTCAGTTTAAGACCAGACTGAACTACATAGCAACACTCTGGAGAAAACAAAGAGAAAGCAAGAATAGGAGCTGAGGAGATAGCTTGGTGGTCTAAGTGCCTGCTTGGCAAGCACAAGAACCTGGGTTGGATCCCCAGTACCACATGCCATGCTATCCCCAGAACCTCTGGCACGCCTTGTAGGCCACCAAAACTGGGCGTGGTGGTGCATGCCTGTAATCCCACAAGTCCAATCTAGTAGTGAGACCCTGAACACCCTGTAGACCCTTCCTTAAAATATAAAACAAATAAATAAAATACACAGTAGCAGATATAGCAAAAACTGTGTTTAGATCAGGGGATTATAATCTCCACAAAGGGCTTAATAGCAAATGTTTTGGGCTTTGTTGGCTGAGAGGCAAAACTACATTATTATGTAGTACTTAACAAAAGGGGGAAAAATCCATGATTTTCATTATAAAAGGTGAAGCTTAATAAAAATGAGAATTTACACTGGCCAGATAACCCAGCAGACTAGGCCAGGGTTTGATCCCCAGCTTGCCATGTTGGCCTGCCCCCTGGGGTAAGCTGAGATGGTGATTAAGCCTGGGTGTGGAGGTGTGAGCCTATAACCCCAGCACTTGGGAGGCTGAAAACAAGAGAATCACTGAGTCCGATCTGTGTAGTGAGACCCTGTAGACCCTGTCCTAAATACATTTTTTTTAAAAAAGACAATCTAATGTAGATCTAATGATCAAGGAATGAGTTCCTTTGGGAGCAATAACATTTCACTTACTTGGGGTTCAAAGTAAGTAGAGGCTAGGGATTGAGCATAGTAGCACATCACCTACCTGACAAGAGTTCAACTCTTGGTACCCCACCCCTGCAAAAATTTTTAAAAAAAGTAAGTTTCCTCTGTCATCAAAATGGACTGCAGGGGCCCTGGGAGATGGCTCAGTGGAATAAGTGCTTCCCTGGCAAACACAAGGGCTTGAGTTCAATCCCTGGTTCCTAAAAAAAAAAAAAAAAAAGGACTGCAAACATCTCATATTAGATGAGATTGCATATATTTCATTTTTGAAAATATCTTTTGTCCTCTCATGGATACTGCCACATATTGATATGAATACGTGGACATAGGATTTCACATGAGCACATTTAGTGCTTAGAAGGCAGTTCTAGGACTGGGGAGATGGCTCAATAGAATAAGTGCTTCCCTGGCAAGCGCAGTGGCCTGAGTTCAACCCCTGGTTTCACCAAAAAAAAAGAAAGAAAGAAAGAAAGAAAATAAAGTAGAAGGCAGTTCTAAAATTCTGTTAGAATTCTATAAATTCTCTCCATCCCCCTTAGGATGCCAGTACACTGCAGATTACTCACATCCGGTTGGAGGTTAGGTAGAGTTCCCTCCATTTGCACAGTTAAGTGGATTTTAGATATGAAAACTCCCCTAGCACTGCCATTGGAACCCAAAAGGCACTGTTGGAACTGCAACTTGAGTTCAGAAAAATAAGACTACCACAGATTTACATAGGAATGGAGCTCTTGCCTGTTATTTTTAGCTGATGACAATGTAGGAAGTGTGTAATACAGCTCAACATTATTTGTGATTTAAGAAACCTAGCTATATCAAAATGGTCCATTTTGCTTATGAGCTCTCTTTTGCCTTGTAGTTTTAGGTTGACCTCACGAAGGGACAATGTTAAGTCTGTAGCTAAAGCCAATTTCCAAACCCATTGAATGTTTAATAACAGTCATACGTTTTCTTGCCTTTCTGTATGTGTGCATGCGCACGCGTGTATGTGTATTTGTCTTAATATGATTGACTGCGGCAAACATGTATGTACAAGTACACTAGATAATGAATTAAATATTTTCCCCCAAAATCTTCTATCAGGCCACTACAGTTGGGGCTGAGTCAATATGATCTGCAACTGATCTGGGTGTGGGCTTTGTGAACAGCTTTGGTTTGATTGAATTTACCACTGGCCTCAGTTATCTCAAAGATGAGATTAGGATTTTTCATATAAGCAGATATTATCTTAGATCCCTGATGGATGTCTTCCTTGTCAAGTCTTAGAGGGACATCTTCCTCCTGCTCTCACCTACTGCCCCTAGTCTTCCTCAAGTGAAGACCTGGAGTGCTAGAATTTTTACCCCTGTACAAGTCCTTACCTGAAAAGCCAGTGGACCTCTGAGAGGTTCTCTCTCATCTTCTTCACTGCCTTGCTTCTGTAGATCTGCCCCAAAGCTAGTGCGTATCAATGAAAAATAACTGTGAAGTAATATGATTTAGCTCCTTGCTTAGAGCTTCTTTGGATTCTGATCTGTCACATCAGCCCTGTTTTATCAGCCATTAAAATTTATTTAAA